GAGGGCTAGTACAGGGTAAGGCGTGATCCCTGCTCAAAGTTAGGACAAAGGTCGGAGCGCCACAAGGTGTGGCCCCAAAACAAACAAAAAAAAGAATATAAAATCAGGCAACCTGGCATTTCTTGCAAAAAAAAAAAAAGCCAGTATTTAAAAAAATTTAAAACGTGTGATAAAGTACAATACTTTTTTTTTTACAGACTCCCAATATCATTTTAAGTAGCCATTTGACATGGTTTTAATGGTTGAAATTATTCCTCCACGCCAATCATTTTACCGCATGGTAACTTAGTTCTCTCACTGTGTGCAAAAAGGCTGTGTTAAAAAAGCAGATTTTACCATATATAGTTTCCTCTTCATAGCACAGTGGTTGAAACTAGCTCCCTTACTTCCCACTGAGTCATCAAATGGTAAGAATGCGAACAGTAGACTGTTCTCTTTTTTCTTATTTAAAATACCCTCCCCCTCCCCTTTGAGGCTTTTTTTTGTTGTTGTGAGGACCAAGGTTGCACACAAGCCTTGCTGTGGGGCTTGCACACTTGGCCGGAGCTCACTGAGGGTTGTGCACCCCTTGGCTGTGGTGCTTCCTTCAGCTGAGGCACACAAGCTACGGTTGTGATGCTCAAAGAGGACTGTGCCATTGCTCACATGAATGCCAGCCAGAGGTCACACTTCCACACTTGCAAATCTTTTGAGTTGCATGCTAACTGGGGGTTGCATCCCCTTTGTGTGTGGCACACCCGCTATGGTGTAGAAACAGAATTTGCATGTGGTGCCAGGGATGGCAGAGAGCTGAGCTGCCAGGACTATACTAGACACATGTGGAACACGGGGGATTCGAACTTGTGACCAGATGCTTGCTTGTAAGGCAGGCACTCCAAGTCCCTGTACTATTCCTCTGGGCTCAAAAAATGTTCTCTCAAGAAAACAAAAATGCTTATTTATTGTGAAAGTACCTTCCTGCCTTCAAAAAATAAACTGGGGTTTCATAAAGGCACATTGTGCTCATTTAATTTATATTTTTACTTTATTAATTTTTAACAGGGGCTACAGCCAGCAACATTCAGTCCAGGAGTGAGCTCTGTGGTTAGGTGCTCAGGGCCCATGCTACTAAGGGAATATTGAGCAGTGGGGAACAGTGCATTACTGGGGAAAAACCTTAGGGCTTCAGAGCTGGAGTAATAGTTCAACTGACTAAGCATCTGTGTGCTCTGCCAGCAGGAGCCTCAGGTTTGATTCTAGCACCTTACAGACTCCCAAGCACAGGCAGAAGCAACCCCAAACACAGTGCCCCCCACCCCTCAATAAACAACTCAGGGCTTCACACATGCTAGAGCTGTCTCTACCACTTGAATTAACTCCCTGCTCCTCCCTTTATTAGTTTCTTACACTGATATTGACGTTTTTCTGAGGGATTTTTTTCCCCCCTGAGGGTGGTAGGGGTTCTGATTTTAAGGCCACACACAGTGGTGCTCAGGTCTTACTCCCAGCTATGTGCTTAGGCAACCATATGTGGTGCCAGGGATCATGTCTGGGTACAAGGCAAATGCCTCAGCCCTGTCCCATCTCTCCAGTGCTTGCTTCGGCGGCACATATACTAAAAAACTGTCCTATTTCTCTAGTCCCAGAGGCTGTATTTTAGACAATAGGTCTGAACAGTTATGAGGAGAAAATACGTAAACTGCCAGAATAAGGTAGTTAACTTCCTCTAAGCCTCCCTAATGAAACTCTGGTCCGGAATGGTAAGGAAGAGACTCTAAGCCAACATTCAGCAAATCATAAGAATTCATGTACCTCAGAGCACCTTAACTTAGGGCCTTCCAGAGGTTAAAGTGCTATACCAAATTTAAAAACCTAAAATAAAGAAGACAAGTTGCAGTAGGGGAAAAACTACTTCCACACACTCTCAGAAACTAATTTTGAACTTACTATTTAATTATAAAGGAATCACACTACCTTCAGGTAGATAAATGTAATTAAGAGTACAATAAAAAATACATAGCAAGAAACAGATATGCCAAATGGCTCCTAATCCTCAAAAATGTAAGAATATATATATATGTATTAGAATTGTGTCATCATTACCAGTCAATCATGTCTAGAAAATCTAAATAAAATTTTAAAGTTAGGAACCGAAAACAAATTACATAAAGCTTTGTCCGAATTAACTATACTTATTCATATTTATGTCACAGTAACTGACCTTTTATCTTAATAAGATTCTTAAATTATGGGAGATATAAAAATGATCAATAATATACTGTGATATAACAAATGAAATAGTAACATAAAAAACTTTACGTCTGGGGTCAAGCAGATGGCTCAAGTGGTGCACAGTGCTCCATCCCATCCAGCTATGCACAAGGGTACGACATGCCTATGCCAGACTGGTGACCCAAGTACTGCTAGTTCTCTATTGAGGACCTGTGGTTTTTTTTATTTAAAAAAAAATGACCTTGTGGTTAATATTACTTAGAAATTCACATAGACTATAAATAAAAGGTTCATCACCCTTTAAGAAGGAGGAATCTGAGGCTGGAGTGATAGCACAGTGGGTAGGGCATTTGCCTTGCATGTGGAAAGACCCAGGTTCAATTTCCAGCATCCCATCTGGTCCCCCGAGCACTGCCAGGAGTGATTCCTCAGTGCAGAGCCTGGAGTAACCCCTGAGCATTCCCGGGTATGACCCCCGCCCCTCCAAAAAAAAAGCAAAAAAAAAAAAAAAGGAAGAAGAATCTGTTAAGATATAACTGGTTCTGATTTCTAAGGAAAACATCTGACATGTTCAGAAGAAGCTTTTGCTTTTTTATTAATTAGCTTTTGGGGATGGGGGGTAGAGTGGTGTGTGAGGAGATTCTGGCCACACCTGGTGGTACTCAGGGACTATTCCTGGATCTGCTTAGAGTTCACTCCTGGTAGGGCTTTGTGGATTATATGCAATGTTTGGGGGCCCTAAAAAGAAATTTTTTTTTTATTTAAGAGTTATTTTAAGACCACAGTAGCTACTGATGTTTATCAGGCTATTGTTTCTAAGCACCTATGACTGAGTCTTAACGCTAAAAGTAATACATATTTATAGTTAATTGAAATCTTAACAAGTTAAAAAAATGTTTTTCCAAAAGACTGGAGACAGAGATAGTGCAGAAGGTTAAGACGTTTCTATCCCTGGCACCACATATGGTCCCCCAAGCATCACCAAGAGTGATTCAAGAACACAGAGCCAGGGACAAGCCCTGGTGTGGGCACCCCCAAACAAACAAATGTGTTTCCCAAGTCCTTCCCTTGAAGTCCTATCCCCTTATATCAAAAGCAATCACTATAAGCAATCTCACCTGTCTCTCAAAACTATGACATACGGAAAAAAGTTAATGGACATATAAGTATTTTTAATAAAAAAAACCCTTGGGTAAATAAGATCATTTAGATCATTTAGAACTTTTAAAAAAATCTTAAACAAATTAAGACATCTTTTCATAGTGATGAATCTGCCTTCCTCTCCCTCCTCCCATTTTTTGGGCTAAGTAAGTGTTCAGGGGTCACTCCTGGATGTGTTCAGAGGCCCATGTGTCCAGGACAGAACTTAGGCCTCCAGAATGCAAAACATGCACTCCAGCCCATAGAACTCTCTGGCATGCACCTATCTCCTTTAAAAAATAAAATAAATTAAAAAAAAACAACAGTATTCCATTTTGTATGGCTATCCGATTCTATGATAGCATTTTTGTCCATTTTAGATCAGACCAGTATAACTATTACCTGTAAATGTACGCAACAGATCCAACCAGCGCAATATTATGACAATGAAGTAGAAACTCTTTTTCCTCCCCATCTCTGCAATCCTTTCCAAAATGTTTTAAGGTTCCACTTAAACCTAGTTTCACTCAAAAGTCACAATGTAAGGAGTAAACATCAAAACTACTTCACCTCTAAACGGGTGAGCTATCACCTTAATGCAGAAGAAAAACGACAGGACCACAGCGAATTCTCCCAAAGTAGCAATTCAGTTTTCTAATTTGCTGAGGGCCATCCCAAGTACTTTCTCTTTTTTAAGGATGGAGATGGAGAAGGAGATGGGCAGAAACGACTTGCAAATAATTCACAAAATCGGTGGGGGGGAAGCCGATTTTTTTTTCACAATGATTTGCATTTTAGATTCTCAGAGATATACCATCGGTCTTGGGCACCTAAGTAAACGGGTTTACTGGGTCGGGGGTCGGGGGGGACCCCGAACCGATGAACTGGCCCCAAGGTCAGCGGGATGCACACTTGGGGCGCCGCCGCGGGGGTTCGAGACCTCCCGAGTACATCACCCAGGAAACACGCCGGTCTCGGCGGGCTGCAGCCCAGCCAGACTCCCAGCACGCAGAACGAACAAACAAACAAACAAACAAGCAAACAAAAAAGCGTCGGGAGGGGGGAGGTCGCTGCTGCCCTGGCCGCCCCTTCTCGACAGGGAAACTTAAAAAAGCAGCCGAGCTCGGGCGCGGAGAAAGGAAGGGGTGAGGCTCGCTGCGTGACAGACAGCACTTCCCTTTTCTTCTTTAAGGCCCGTTTCCTGCCTCCAGCTCCGCGTCTTCGGCCACACAGGAAGAGGAAGGCCTCTCTCAAACCCCTTTCGCGTCCCGGCGACCCCGGGCCCCCGGCCCTGAACGCCCCCCACCACCGAATCGACGGCCACTCGGGGCGTTTCATTCAGCGCTCGCCCCCGCCGGAGCCCGCGAGCCGCGCGCCAACCGGGAGGCAGGTGGGGTCTCCCCTGCAGAGGCGGCCTGGCCCGCCGCCCTGAACCCCCTGAAAGGGGTGAGGGGCAGACTGGATCGCCCACACGAGGGTCCGGACAGGCCGCTCCTGCCCCGCGCCCGCGCAGCCCACGGCCGCGACCCCTCCGGCCGGGGCCGCGAGGGCCCCGAGGAACAGCCACGACGCCCAGGGAGCGCTCGCTCACCCCGCGCCCATCCCCGCCGGGGCCAGTGGCCTCGGCAAGGCTCGGCCGGACGCCTTACCCCGGTGCCGTTGTCGCACACCACCACCTTCCTGCCCTGGCTGTCCATCGTCCGCCCGGAAGAGAGCCGCAGCCGCCGCCACCGAACAACCTAGAGCCGCCGCCGCCGCCGCCGCCGCCCGGCCCTTCCCTCTTCTTCCTCCTCCTCCCTCGCCGCCGCCCCGCCCTCGACCTAACTTTCTGCCCCCAACCGGAAGTCACAGCCCCGCCCCGCCCGCCGTCTATAACTGACAGCCAGCGCGGAAGGGGTGGAGACGGGAGGGAGCGGCCGCGACTGGCAGCCTGAGGGCCCAATAAGAAACGCAGCTGCGCGAGGCCCCGCCCACGCAGGGCTCCGTCTCCTAGGGCACCGCCCCTCCAGGTTCTTCCTCTTGGTGTCTCCTTCTTGTCGCTTTGTCAATTAATGGCAGCCGACCCGGTGGTGGGGTCTCTCTCTCCCTCTCTCTCTCACCCTTTATCTCTCTCTCTTTTTTTTTTCTCTCTGTAAGATGTCGAAGGAGTTGTGAGAGCGCCGCTTTCCCGTCTTTAGAAGGCTCAGACTGTTGAGCCGCACCTGGTCCATCGCGAGATGGCCGTGGAATGTGGCAGAGGAGTGAGCCTGGGAGGGAGGAGAAGGTGGGGCAGGAAGCAAATTGGCCGTCCCTGCCAATCCATCAGTAAACATGACCATTGACCATGATTTTCTAGTGCACAGAGGTGGACTAGTGGACTAGTACACACACACACACACACACACAGAGGGAGGGAGGGAAAAGGGTGGGGGAGAGATTTGAAATCATGTTTGAGATGCCTCCAATTCCAGCTCAGCGGTGATCTGGCCCAAATTTTACTACATCAAGGGAAGAAGAGTATGGGTGCCAACACTGCAACCTCATGGGTCACCACTTCCCCTTTCCAACAGCATCACACCTCTTCTTCAGGCCTCTTGAATCTAAGTGCCAAAAGAGTCTCCTCAGTTTTGATACCCAACAAGGCTAGCTTCCAATGAGGCCCTGTCACTTTAAGAGTTTTTGAACTTAGCATATCCTTGTCTGTCAACCTCTAATGGGTTGCTGAGAGGATAAAATTCTGTGCCTAAGTTAAGCATCCATTCAAATGGTATTTATTATTTATTCTATACTTTCAAGTGGGCAGTTTTGTCTGTAATGTGCTTGCCTTTTTTTTTTAATCTGGAGACTAATCTATTCATTTTGAAAGCACAGCTTGTCCCATCCAAGAAGAGTTCTGATAACTCTCAGGATGTCCTCTACTCTGTCTTTGCTATTATACTACTTTTGCATGAGCATATGAAGAACTATGTTGTACTTTCTACACTCAGAATAAGTAATGAATAAACAGCATTAAATTCATCTAGATCTAGAAAAAAAATCATCTTTTTGAGAGATGAGAATTAGAATTGTACCTTTCATGCGTACAACAAATTGAATAAAACTTGAATTGTGATCCCCCGATCCAGTATTATAATACTAACCTCTCAGTTGTCACTGTTCTGTTATTAGACTAGTGGTTTACAAACCTTTATGAAGGCATAGAATGCTTTATTTAAATTTAATCTTATAGGGCACCCCATCCTATAAAATAGATCAAAGTAAAACTGTCATAGCTGTAATTGGACCTTTGAGAGGTTAAGTTGAACCTCAGTGGAATGTCTTCCTGCATCCTCTTCAATAGTGCTCGAGGCTCGTAGACCTGATGAGTGCATAAGTACATAAATTACACATTTTTGTAGCCCACTGTTTGGCGCTAAATTTTACTGGAAGCCCATTTAATTAGCCTCAGCAAATTGAACTCAAATGCTTCTCTTTTGCTTTTCCTCTTTTTTACTGTTTCCTTTAGCCATAGTGGGGACCAAACCCAGGTCTTCTGCAGGCAAAGCTCACACTTCACCACTGAGCCATAGCCTCAGTCTCTGTATTTCCTCTTACAAAATACTAATGTGTTTTGCAGGGATTGGGGACTCGCACAACCTTCTACAGTGAAACTCTGCCTAATATGCTATCCTGACAAGTTAGGCGCTTGGGCAGTGGTGAGGTGCTTGTCCTAGCAGTGGTCAGGAGCCACTAAGGCCACTCCTGGCACTGCTGTGGGTAGACCCCTACATGGAGCAGTATGAGATTAAACTCTAGGCCTATCATGTGCAACATATGTGCTCTGTGTCCTCAGTTAGCTTTCCAGTACCTTCTAGTTACTATATTTAAGAAACGGGCTTGGTCCTCAAGCCTGTATTCTCCCCTGACCGTGTAATTCATTTGCTTATTATTATGCCTCTTTGCCCTCTTTATTTTTTTCACTAGAGAGGCCTGTGTTCTCTCTTGAGCACCTATTTCCTCTTTTTCTCTCTCCTCTCATCTTTCTAAATAAGTTTTGTTCAATAAAAATGATCTTGCTTCATAATAAAAATAATATGTGTGGCCAAAGTTATAGTAGGGCCTTGCACAAAGCCAACCTGTGTTTGATTCCCCAGCATCCCATATGGTCCCCCAAGCCCTGCCATGAGTGATCTCTGAGCCAGGTGTGGCCCAGAAACAACCAAAAAAAAAGTTTAAGAAACACTGCACTACACAAATAAAATGCAACAAAAACCTGTGATAATTCAAATTCAGATATAATATAGGTCACTTACCTCCTATCTTCTATTTCAGGCCCATTCAGGTAATTTCATATTGTTCAAAATAATGTAATCTAACATTTTGAACTAAAAATTTCAAGAAGTTGGAACTCCTTCATTCCAGCTGTATGTTGAAATTGTATATATGCAGTTCTACAAAAAACTCTGCCAGGTAGAAAACATCATTGTATCTGTGAGAAAAGGGAGCTTTAAAATGTTTAAGCAAAACAGGAGAGATAGAGGAGATAATGTGCTTGCCTTGCATGCAGCTCACCCCTGCTCAATTCCCTGTACCACACATGACTGCTAGGGATCAAGCCAGGAATAGCCCCTGAGCACTGAATATAATGAAGCAAATAAATATATATAAGAATTTTTAAGTTTAGTAAGGTCACAGGATATAAGTTCTACATATAGAAGTCAATATATTTGTATATGCCAGCAGTGAATAATCAGAATAAAATTAGAAAAATAATTCCATTCCCAAGAACAGCAAAAAAAATTCAAATATAATTAGTTTAATGCAAGAATTAGGTTCTGAAAGCTATAAAACATTGCTGAGAGAAATCAAAAGATCTACAGCAAAGATTTCCAAACTTAGTTGGTTTACCACTCCCTTTCCAGAAAAAAAAATTACTCAGTGTCCCCTAGAAATTCATCTTTTTTTAAAATCTACCCTTTTTTAGAGAAAGAAACAAAGTGTTCCACAGTTGCTTCAGATTCTACTACAGTTTCCCCTGAATCATTCCCACACCATAGCATGATCTAGATTAATAAACACTCAATTTTCTTGGATTGAACACACATGTTAAGATTATAATTTTCTACTAATTTATATTATCTCCCGATATAATCTTTGTCAAATCCTCAGCAGTTTTGAAAAATTCTCTTTTTATCCATTTTCATTGTTGCTTGTTTGGGGGAGGCCACATCCAGCTGTGCTTGGGATTTACTCCTGGTTCTATGCTCAGGGGACCATGTAGGGAACTAGGGATCTAACCAAGATCAAACATGAAAGGCAAATGTCTAGGTCCAGATTAAGAGAAAGTATTTTCAAATCATGTATTCAACAAAGGACTTGAATTCAGAATAAAATAGGAACACTTAAAACAATAATATAGATAACAAATTAAAAGTAGACAAGAATTTTGAATAAATACTTCTCCAAAGAATGATTATGAAAGGCAAATAATCATATGAAAAGATGTTCATCATCATTTGTTGTTAAGGAAATAAAGCATAAGCTGCTGTTTCATACAAACCAGTTTATCTAAAATCAAACAGACATGAAATAGCACATGTTGGTAGAGTTCTGGAGAAACTGGACCTGCTATCCATTGCTAACGGGAATAGAGAGTGGGGCACTACTCTGGAAAACTGGCAGTTTTTCAAAAAGTTAAACAAAATCGCCAAAAGTTCAACAAAAAAGTCACCATTCTGCTCCTAAGTATATGACCAAGAGAAATGAATACATATATCCACAGAATTGAAAGCAATATTAACAGAAGCATTACTCATAACAGGTAAGAAAATGAAACCATCCAAATGTCCATCAATTTGTAACTGAGTATCAATGTATGCTATGAATCTCTACAATGAAATGGTATTTGGCAATAAAAAGAAAATAATGCATTTTTTGTGTGAATGAACCTAAAAAATCATACTGATACAAAAAATACATAATGCATTATTCCTTGTATATGGGGATTCTAGGAAAAGAAATTTTGTAAGTCTAGAAATCAGGTAAGTAAATGCTGTGGTTAGGAACCAGATCTGGATATTTTGTAATAAAATGGCTTTTAAATTATACCCATACACAAAAAATAGTGTATTAGAAACTGAAGCACTGTAGCACTGTCCTCCTGTTGTTCATCGATTTGCTCAAGCGGGCACCTTGTGAGACTTGTTATGTTTTTGGCATATGGAATACACCATGGGCAGCTTGCCAGGCTCTGCTGTGCGGGCAGGATACCCTCGGTAGCTTGCTGGGCTCTGCAAGAGGGACAGAGGAATCGAACCTGGGTTGGTTGCGTGCAAGGCAAACACCCCACCCGTTGTGCTATCGCTCCACTCATGTAGAAACTGAAGATTACTTAAAAAATAAGATCTGTTTCCATAATTTATAAATAAAAATGAGTTCCTTGGGGTCAAGGAGATAGCTCAAGGGTCAGTAACAGAGTATTTCCAGAAGTGACCCCTGACCCACTGAGCACTGTTAGGGAACACCACCTTTCCCCAGAAGAGAATGTTTGAAGTGTGGTTATTTGGAGATAACTCAGGTGCTAAAGCATATGCCACTCATGCTTGAAGCTCTCTCCTTATAGCTGAGGAACATACCCTGGACATGTATCACATGTAGAGAAAATGGCATGTGATACAGGATTTCTACAATCTCTACATATAGAAATCAATATATTTGTATATACCATCAGTGAATAATCAGGATAAAATTAGAAAAATAATTTTTTAAAAATTTTATTTAAAAACAAAAAATACACAATGCAGTTTCAGGCTGTGAGTTTTAGTCTGGTAGTGAGGAAACCGTGGCTGTCGTTCAAGGAAGGATC